GATTTACCAGAGGAGAAGAAGGCTGAGGAAGGAGACGAGGAACGAGAGGAGAATTTAAGAGGAAAGCGTAAATGCCAAACCCACAAAGGAAAAGGTTCTTCAAAGCTTTTTTAAATGTTATAAAAATTTGAGAAGCATCGTGGATCACGGGATTATGACACGTGTTCGTAACTTATTGGAAGAACGTTGACCAAGTTGTTAAATGCGGCGGAGGTTTTTTGGTCCATCGGTTCTTCTCTCTTTTAGTGGGCCTCATCTCTCTCTAAGCCCATTATAACTTCAGTGCCATATCTTGTTCTTAACAGATTACTGTCGAGTCATTAACAAAAAAGTTAATCAATCATTTGGTTTACAAATAGTGTGTAGGAAATATTTAAGTTTTCTTGAGAAATTTATTGGATTTGCATATACACCTATACGCCCGCAAAAAAAAAGACTTGTCCATTGCCTTGTTGTTTAAGATCCAATTTAAATAGGTGTAGACCAGGTTCACGCCCGGTTCATGTACATACCGGTTCTAGTATCTACCAATATTTCTTCACCTACATTAACAAATAGTGGTACGGTCACTACAGCTCCAGTTTCCACAGTCGCAGGCTTTGATCCACCTACATTACATTCCACCACACCACCCGGTTAAGGGCTTGTTTAAACCATTCACAATATAAACACCAATGCAACATTACTTACCTTGCGCAGTGTCACCTCTAAGGCCAGGATCAACATCAACCACTGTTAACTGAACTGTGTTTGGTAATTCGAAATCGATAACCTTGCAAAAAAATCCAAACAGAAACCAGATATAGCATCACTACTGCTTACTCTGTGAGCTATTAGCTGAGAAAAAACTAAAAGTGTGTACCTTGTCTTTCCAATACAATAGATTGCATTCCATTCCTTCTTTAAGCCATCTTGTCTTGTCACCCATATCAGATTCGTTAAGACGGGTTTCTTCGTAAGTGCTCTATAGAAGAACATTAGAGGCATATCATTAAAACCATGGTTTAAGCCACTACATGCCGCGGATAACAGAAAGTACTAAAAATCCATTGACATACCAAATCCATGAACACAAACTGAGACCCTTCCTTATATGTGAATTGCTTGGTCTCTTTGTAAACATTTGCTTCCTCAACCTGTAACGTACAAGAGAATCAAGATGGTGTGCAACTAGAATCATTCGTTGGATTCAGATACAACAGAAAGACAAAGAGAGGTGAATTTACAGAGATTCCGGCACGAAATGTCCTCTCCACTGTGCTACCATTTACGTAGTTCCTGATCTTAGTTCTCACAAATGCCGCACCTTTTCCCGGTTTCACATGAAGAAACTCTGCCCAAAAAATCCAGAAAAAAAATACTCAAAAGACTAGTAACAGATGCATCAAATCCAAAACAAGGCTTAATTTGTCATGAACTAGTAACAGACTAACACAATCTACCAATTCCAGAGACCTTCCAAGTTTATATTACATTGAAAATCCCAAAACTAAAACCTAAATTAAGACGAATTGAGAGATCGAAGCATACCCAGTACACGCCAAGGAGCACCATCGACTTCAATGTTGGTTCCGGCTTTAATGTCGTTAGCAGACAAAGAACAGTAAATCCCTGCAAAATCGGAAGACAAATTTCAACAAACAAGTCCCTATCAATGCCTTGAATTCATAGAGCGGAGAGAGTTTTAACTGGGAAATCTGTTGGTTCGGGGTGGGATTCGCAGAGGAAGCACCGATCGATTCAGGGGAGATAGTG